TATAACATAAAATGTATGCTTTATTAATTTAGGCCGTCTAGTGCTTTACCCCTTACTCTTATTTTGGTATTCCTTTTAAAGAATATACAACTGGTGTTATTCTATAGGCTATTTTTTGTTTTTGTCAACAGACAAATATTATGCATATTTATGCTGAAAATGGGGCTTGTTGGATTAAATCACTTTAGGTCTTGGTCTACACTAGTGATGGGAATTCCGGCTCTTCTTGGTGAGCTGGATCATTTGGCTCGGCTCACCAAGAAGAGCCGGCTCTTTCGGCTCCCAAACGGCTCTTCGGTTTACCATATATTATACCTTTTAATTAAATCAAATGTAGCCCTGTTTTGACTAATGAATGATGTATATGTGTACACATATATCACTTAAATTATTCAACACATCCTTTGAGTAGGAGTAGCAGTAGATCCTGCATTTTAGCCATGCCTCATTTCGCTCTATTTGCTCTTTCCAGCGCTGTTTTTGCAGGGGGCTGATTCTGTGAGCTGCAGCTGACCACGCCTCCCTGCAGGAGAGGGGAGCGTGCTTTGAGATCAGCTGCTGGGCTGTCAGAAGAGGGGGAGAAAAAGAGATCTCCCTCCTCCGTGTTTTATTCTTATAGAAGTAAGAAGAGAAGTAACGGGGCAGAAACCCTCCTTTTTACTCAGCGGTCCAGACATAGACATCAAACCTGCGACACATATTCAGTGTGCAGTTACTTTGGCACCATTAGGGCAGGGATATCTAGATACTTTCCAAGGTTTGACATCATGAAGTGTGCTACTTTTAAAGCAAGCAACGATGTTTTCAAATCTGTAATCAAAAAGCTCCTCAAAAACACTCGAAGCAGTTCCTGCCGTTGCTACGTTAGTTCAAACAGTAACAACGGACTATTTTTCTTAGCGGATGCATGTCAATTTAAATAAATGCAACTATTTTTTAAATCAATAAAATCATTTTCTAAATCCATAAAAGCATTTCAATTAATATTGGGAGTCATGTCGTTACTTTGTTGAGAATGTGGCCTTGTAATAAGCGGGATAATGTGCACATTGCATAATGTGCCTTCATGCTGATCTAGATCCCTCCGCAAAAAAAAAAAAAAAACCGGCTCGTTCGCGGGCGCGAGCCGGCTCCGGTCGTTCACTTAAAACTCGTTCGCGACCGACATATCACTAGTCTACACAGCTATGGGCTATGCTAGCAGCTCAGTGAGGCTATGGGCTAAATGCTAACATCAGTATAAGCATTCTAACTATATTTAAATCACATCTCATGTATTAATAATGTAAATCCACAACTGAACAACATTTATATCATATGTCTAGTGCACTTTTAGATCATTTAATTTGGAAACCGTTACGTATTTCTATATCTAAAATACATAGCTAATGCTAGCCGTGTTTCGCTATCTTAGCGTGTTGTGTTAGCATGCTATCAATAGCTAACTAGCAATCAACACAAAATGCAGCTCAGGCTGATGTTTTCATAAAATTACGTAGTGAACAAACTTAATTTCTTACCTGAGAATGGTACATGGGCCGTGCACAAAACTGAGAGTCATGCTACCCCAAGGATTAAAATATGAAAGTATTAACAAAAAAGGAAAACAGGTGTTAAGCAAAAGTGTATCTAGCTAACTTTCAGACTCCATTTTAGCTTTATTGTTATCATCCCAAATGACTTCCTCACGTCTCTAATAAGAGGAAATATTGTAGATGTAGGGCCCACTTATATGTAATGAGGTGCTGCAAACATTGCTTTGTTTAAGGGATCATAAGATAAATGAGTTGGGGAACCATTTTAGTTACAGTGCATCCAAGGGGGGAAAAGTGTATTTCTGCAAAGAAATGTATAGCAATCCATCAAATAGTTGCATGCTTAGTTTAAATCAGGTGGGCACCAAATTCAGTAGGACCATGCATATCTGTATTAAATCTCATTGCAATGTTTGTAGGGATATATCTGTCTGGATTAGTGGTTTGTTGGCCCGATTTATCCCCAGACCTGCTGTGCTTACAGGTCTAAAAATGATTTGTTTTTAATGCACGCCATCGTAATGTAAGCCAGTTCTTGGCAGCATCGAGTGAATATATTTTCCTGATGATCGTTCTATCATGGCGAGTTTTAGAGTACACATTTGTACGTACCAGATGGTAAACAGTGGTGATATGTGTTTAGGGTTTAGATGACAGCATAGAGCCACAGCCAACTGGCAGTAAAGAAAGAGATATCGTGCTTCAGAGACTTATTACTGACTGGAACAACCACCATGAGAACAGAGTGTCAACATACTCTATCTATGGGGCCACAAATTACTTTTTATAAGATGTTGTAAGTACACTTTGGAGACTGGGGAAGATTCCTGGATGACAAACAAAATATGTTGTGGTTTGAGGATCACTGAATAATGGCTATTTTCTGTAAAACAAATACATTTCAGGGCCAAGGGAAGGGTTGTATTATTCCGTTAAAAAACTCACGAAAATCACATTTCTAAGATTAGACCAATAGAACAAAATTGATATACTCTCAGATTACATTTACTATAAAAAATATCAAATATAAACAAGAACAGTACCTTCTGAGATTATATGATTTTAGAAAAAACTCAGAAAATATGATATTTAAGTCACAAATGTACAAGAAGTAAACTTAGAAATCTAGTGGCTTTCTTGCAGAGGGACGATATAACTTTACTTACGTAAATGTATGACAGTTTATACAGTATCAAATAATACAGTACAAATAAATGAATCTAGTATTTTTCCTGTAAATGTGAGTTTTTGTTGTAAATCTAGCATCTCTGACATTTCTGAATATTCCCCTACAATTCTTTGCATATTCTTAAACCTAAAAACCTAACAGTCCTAATGCCCCATTAAAGATTTACATTTAAGCACTGGTACATTTAATGTTTACAGTATAAAACATGTCCTTCTTGTATCAGAGAACTCAGACTAACTGGTACAAATTGGACTACAATCAAGACCACTGATATTCTCTTGGTTTAACATGAAAGGCATAAATCCCTGATGACTCTATATCTCCATAAACCCACAAAGATCATCTCTCTATATATTCCCATATGTGCTTCTGGATTTAGAGCAAAGCCTCTCCCCCCAGAAATTAAGAAGAAACAATGGAAGCTCTTTATCTCATGGATGAAACCATTTATCCGAGGACAATGTACGTTAATTGAGTACGCTTTCAGAATACATTTTTAAGGCTTATTTTAATATATAAAGTGTCATTTGAAGTCTCATGTGTATGCTGAAAACCAGAGTTTGGATTGGGAATATATTAGTGCTGGTGCTAAAATGACAGTTATTTTAGACAGATGTGATGGGGGCATAAAACACAAAATCTTTCCCTTAGTGTTCACGGCGTCCCGGCTGCGACAGAATATTTAATGTCGCTCTGCTGGCACTCAAATTGCTCCTCTCTTTTCATGTTTACCCTTTAACGAGGCCGTGGGAGGTTCAATCAGATCATGACTGACAGAACGAGACAAAAACATTGAATTAGGTTCAGGTTTCATCGTGAATCAGAACCATCAGGAAATACAGAAAAAATAAATTGGTTAAAAGAAACAATCAAATTGGCTGGATCTTGTAAATGAAATATGTGAAGTTGTAAGAAAGACATAAGAAAGTTGACATCTTTGAGGAAAAATTAGAAGATGGTAAAAAGCACAGATGTTCCAATTATGTGACAATTAATATGGCATCTACGGCATCTTATGAATTCATGCTATTTTTTCCTTTAATATTTTTTTATTATATTTTCTATGTTTGTTTTTGTTTTATTTATTATGTTTTACTGTCTTTTGTTATTTAAATTATTATTATTATTCTTAAATAATACATGTATTGTGTTTTTAGTTAGTTGTGTGTCCCCAGTAACAATGTCATGTCTTAAAATACAAAAAAAATAAATAAATAACACACAAAAGAAAACATTTAATTAAGACTTTTCAGACCGAAAACAACAATCAATTCATCTACATTTTGGTCCAAAAGCTATTAAAAACACATCAGGTCATTATTCTTCATTAGCATGAATGTGTGAACTGTATTTTTATTTTAAACATGTCCCACAAACACCCTTCTGAAAAAATAACCAACACTTTTTTTGCAGCTTCTGGGAGCCTCAAAAGGAGAAACAAACGTCCCCGGCTCGAGACAGACGAGAGGATCCAAACTCCAACTAAAAGGTACGTAACCTCAGAGAGAAATCCCTGCACAGAATCACATCAGCACAATCCTTTAAAATCCAAAATCAATCCCCAGAACTCATCGTGTGGACACATTGTGAGGATCGAAGAGGATTGGATCAATGTGAGGAAGATAAAGGAGCTTGTACTTCTGAGAGCTGCAGCACAATGCCCACACACGTGTACCTCTGCAGGAGGAACGGATCACAAGGGGATCAGAAACATGTGATGGCATCTCTTCTTCATATATACTCTAATCCTCAAGTCTTTACACGCCATATATTTGATATTTCTATGTGTTAAACCTCAATATCTTCGTTTTGAAATACTCAGAAATGTTGAAAAAGTGTTAGGAATTGGCTGTATATTCTGGTAAAATTATGTAAATACAAGTAAAATAGAGAAATGATTTATACTTATATCTAAAAAAAACAATCCATAGTCTCCTAACACGTATATTATATTATTGATGAATCCGTTTTATTTGACAGATTCGTAAAACTGAGTTTCCGTGCAAAAGCCAGGTTTTAAATCGTGTGTTTACCAGCAATGTGATCATACTTTTCTCCGAAATAGGTCTTCAGCATGAAAATAGAATAACAAAAGGACACATTTATGAGTTGTTTTAAAAACATTTCCATAAAAGAATAGTGCAAAAAACCTTTTAAATATTGTGTTAACCAGATAATTGCTCATACGTTTCTAGAAATTGAGTAATTTTGCACGAAAAAAAATGACGAATCCACAAAAAAAAACTTTCAAAAAAAAAGACCAATGTGAGCACTTATCAAGAGGCAGCATCTGTACTTTTATTATAGTCTCAGATCAAGGATTTCACATTTAGACTGTTTGAGTTATCAAAAAAAGCACTAATCCTCAGTGTATTCTGCACACATTTCTCTTAATATCATTATTCAACAAGTATCCCTTCAGGCCGAAACATAACAAAACAATTATTCAAAGTCGTACAAATTGGTAATTTATGGGGGTAAAATGTTGGCTTGCAGCGATGTAGAGCAGATGAATAGAAACAGAGCACAGATCAGAGGAAATGTAATTGTTTGTGTGTGTGATGATGACGCTACTGCAGATTATTCACTTTCCTCTCAGGATTACAGGAGATGGATAAATCCCCTCGCTACTCTAAATGTGTTATCTATACTCTACAACCCCCCGCCAGACACAAAATCCTCCATACATCCACAGCCCTCCCCCAGGATCACGCAGATGTGCTGTGTAAATCTTACATCGTCAGAAACCAAACTATGGAAGCTCTTTAATCTTTAACAGAGTTTTAACTGGGACAGTAAAACAAACAACATGTGGATAATCAACAGTATTTTCAAATACATTGTAGAAAACATACAAGGGAATTCATGTACTCAAACACAAAGTACTGCAAAAGCAATATCAGTTTTATCCCATTCATAAATGCATCCTTCATTACGCTGAAACACGCACTCAGAGCTTAAAAACCCACAGAATATCAGCATTTTTTTGGGCAATAACTGCGCAACGTTTCAATCTATCAAAGATTTCCATTATACAATCAAGACTTTTTAATCAACTGCATCATAAATATCTTTGTTAGATAACAAATAAATGACATTCTCCTGATTCTTGAGCTCTCGGTTCGTTTTTTTGATCCAGCTGCTGTTAAATCCTTTTCCTCGGTGCTCAGCACTCGACCGAAGTTGCTGTACGTCTGACTTTCTGTCCAATCACAGCTCGTCGTGTCGCGTCTGTCCGATGGCGGTGAGCTTGGACAGTTGTGCGCTGAACTTTCCATCTGTGTGGGTCACTGGAGGTCGGAGGTCGGAGAGAGGAGAGAACATCACAGTCACGGACGATATTAAAACCAAAACACAGCATCGTTGATGCAAAGCAGCCGAGTGTCATGTGACTGCAGAGGCAGCATTTTAAAATCTGCAGGACCCATTTAACGGCAGTAAAGTAACAGATCATTTAATTAAAGGGGCCTAATCTGCTGATGTTCAGGTGTATATCAGTATGTAGTGTCTCTACTTTAAAGAGTCCTCTCCTGCTCATGTTCAGGTGTATATCAGTATGTAGTGTCTCTACTTTAAAGAGTCCTCTCCTGCTGATGTCCAGGTGTATATCAGTATGTAGTGTCTCTACTTTAAAGAGTCCTCTCCTGCTGATGTTCAGGTTTATATCAGTATGTAGTGTCTCTACTTTAAAGAGTCCTCTCCTGCTGATGTTCAGGTGTATATCAGTATGTAGTGTCTCTACTTTAAAGAGTCCTCTCCTGCTGATGTTCAGGTGTATATCAGCATGTAGTGTCTCTACTTTAAAGAGTCCTCTCCTGCTGATGTTCAGGTGTATATCAGTATGTAGTGTCTCTACTTTAAAGAGTCCTCTCCTGCTGATGTTCAGGTGTATATCAGTATGTAGTGTCTCTGCTTTAAAGAGTCCTCTCCTGCTGATGTTCAGGTGTATATCAGTATGTAGTGTCTCTGCTTTAAAGAGTCCTCTCCTGCTGATGTTCAGGTGTATATCAGTATGTAGTGTCTCTACTTTAAAGAGTCCTCTCCTGCTGATGTTCAGGTGTATATCAGTATATAGTGTCTCTACTTTAAAGAGTCCTCTCCTGATGATGTTCAGGTGTATATCAGTATGTAGTGTCTCTACTTTAAAGAGTCCTCTCCTGCTGATGTTCAGGTGTATATCAGTATGTAGTGTCTCTACTTTAAAGAGTCCTCTCCTGCTGATGTTCAGGTGTATATCAGTATGTAGTGTCTCTACTTTAAAGAGTCCTCTCCTGCTGATGTTCAGGTGCATATCAGTATGTAGTGTCTCTACTGTAAAGAGTCCTCTCCTGCTGATGTTCAGGTGTATATCAGTATGTAGTGTCTCTACTTTAAAGAGTCCTCTCCTGCTGATGTTCAGGTGTATATCAGCATGTAGTGTCTCTACTTTAAAGAGTCCTCTCCTGCTGATGTTCAGGTGTATATCAGTATGTAGTGTCTCTACTTTAAAGAGTCCTCTCCTGCTGATGTTCAGGTGTATATCAGTATGTAGTGTCTCTACTTTAAAGAGTCCTCTCCTGCTGATGTTCAGGTGTATATCAGTATGTAGTGTCTCTACTTTAAAGAGTCCTCTCCTGCTGATGTTCAGGTGTATATCAGTATGTAGTGTCTCTACTTTAAAGAGTCCTCTCCTGCTGATGTTCAGGTGTATATCAGTATGTAGTGTCTCTACTTTAAAGAGTCCTCTCCTGATGATGTTCAGGTGTATATCAGTATGTAGTGTCTCTACTTTAAAGAGTCCTCTCCTGCTGATGTTCAGGTGTATATCAGTATGTAGTGTCTCTACTTTAAAGAGTCCTCTCCTGCTGATGTTCAGGTGTATATCAGTATGTAGTGTCTCTACTTTAAAGAGTCCTCTCCTGATGATGTTCAGGTGTATATCAGTATGTAGTGTCTCTACTTTAAAGAGTCCTCTCCTGCTGATGTTCAGGTGTATCAGTATGTAGTGTCTCTACTTTAAAGAGTCCTCTCCTGCTGATGTTCAGGTGTATATCAGTATGTAGTGTCTCTACTTTAAAGAGTCCTCTCCTGCTGATGTTCAGGTGTATATCAGTATGTAGTGTCTCTACTTTAAAGAGTCCTCTCCTGCTGATGTTCAGGTGTATATCAGTATGTAGTGTCTCTACATGTCTCCATGCTTTAATGTTCAAAAAGCTCTTTATTTTTCTCATACTGCCTGTGCTGCAGCACCTCTTTTCACCCTCTGTCTGAAACCAGAGCCCAGTCTGCTCTGATTGGTTAGCTGGCCGGCTCTGTTGTAATTGATCAACCGCTTAGAGATGTCCCGCCCCTTAGCCTATCACGTACAATGTGTTGGAGCGCTAGCCAATAGTGTTACATAGTGATGTTACTATGTTCCCGAACTTTGGGATTTTAGAACATTTTACAAAAACACGTTACAGTAAAGGGAAAAACCTCAAAAGCTTAATAGGGCCCCTTTAAATCTGCAGATGTAAATTGTGCGCCATCTACAGGGAGGCAGAGTAACAGCTGCTGCAATTATAACACTATCCAATCCAACTTTATTTATATAGCACATTTGAAAACACCTGGAAATAATAAGCGTTACAACTGCAATATCATTTCTCCTGCTGCAATAGGTGACACTTGTGGTTTCATATTGGACATATCAAACCAAAATGCAATGGTTCTGTTCACTAAGGCAGGAAAAAGGAACCTGCTCATGGTGTAGAATATGTAGTGGAGGAAAATAGTGTTTCTTTGTTTATTGTTGAATCAGATGCAGAGGGTCAAAGGAAAACATGTAATTGGAGTATTTCAGGTCGACTAATACCCACGAAAATGACTGCGTGCATGCAGGTTTTTCAGGGAAGCGCTTCTGTTGTTTTCTGCTGTGTCACGTACGAACTCAGCAGAAAGCACGGTTAGTAAACAGAGGAAATGTTACGCTGGTTGCTTCTTCTTTTATATCTGATGCTTATTCAGTCTCTCTCATACTGTCGAAGCAGAGCTGGTGATGGTTGGAGAGATTAGCAAAGATGGTTTTAATGAGTTTTATTTTGTTTCTGTCGACTTTCAATTAGGTTTGTTTAACCATGATCGACAAGGTACAACAAAGGAGTGTGGGGGCTTTTAAGGGGAGACATTTATTGGATATTTTCTATGTTAATAATTATTGTAATTGTCAAAATCAACCCAGTTTAAACTCCTACACTAGACCGGACTTACAAAACCTGAAATCGACTTAGCATTGACTATATAAAGGTTTAGATTTTGAAGCCTTAAGTTTGGCGTTTAAGTCACTACCATCTTGGTTTCTCGAAGCAAATTTAAGATGAGGGTAAAGAAAAGTACATCAAGGCACTGAACAAGATATATGGTGACAAAAACCTTACAATTAGTTTTAATGGGATGAAAACACACCGTGAAAGGGTTACGGCCCATCCACACAGCGGCGTGCGTTGACGCTTGCCGGCGGGCGTGTCTGACACTCGACCAACAACCAATCACATGAATCTCCCGCCTCAGACACACAAGCACGCGGTTTGATTGGCTAGAGCTTGTACTGGCATATGATTCGATTGGCTGACGCCTCCGTCGAAGCGTCAAAAGTTGAACATTGCTCAACTTTTGAAGCGAGCAACGCCAGCAACGCTCCACGTCGCTTCCCAAAATGCAGTTCGGCTAAAAGTGAATGGGCAGAAGCGTTGGAAGCTTCAACGCACGCCGCTGTGTGGACGGGCCGTTAGACAAAAACACTTTGGTAGCGACCTGTCAATCACAAGTTAACCCCGCCTCCCCCTGTCGCGAGTTCGGATCACTTAGTGATGATATATACCTAAATAATCTGTGGAACCTCAGCTTTAATCGGATATCTTGTATGTGCAGCTACGATAAGTAATAAGGGTATCTTTTATCTTGAGTTCTGTGCTAAAGTGCGTTAGCATTTTTCGCTCAGGGGTCATTTAGATGCTTCTTATGAGACTTGTGTTTTGTTTTGGTAAAAATTGTTTGTATCGTCAGTTAGCTGAGATTCTTCCCGTTAATCTGGCCGAGCCCCGCCGAGGGGGGCTTTGGGGCTTAACAGGTTAACTACACCCTGCTTTATCGTCCATTTTACTCCAAATGTGACTTATAAAGTAAATTGACATCATGTTGCATTAAAGAGGGTTCACGACTACAGTTTGAGACTATACATTCATTGTATAAATGTTTACTGTGGTAATAAATCAAGTGAGAAGCAGAGTCATTTTCTCATAGACTTCTATACAATCAGACGAGAGGGGTTTTGCACATATGGCATATTATTTATTCAAAACACTTGGAATGAGTGGCCTATACTTGTTGTAACATTTGCTGTTTTCTACCGGCATACTTTAACAGCGTGTTTCTTGCAATGATCTGATTTGACAACTTGTTTAACCTACATATTGATTACCCCTGATAGCCAGTATTAGAACAACAACAGAATAACGGACAATGATAGCCAACGTGTGGTCATTAAAAGTGTGGTCATTAAAAGTATAGAGGAGAGGGGCAATTGTCTTAACTTCCCAGGCTTTGAAAAGGTCTGCTCGGTTGCGAGTCAATTTGTTGGATGTATATTGCATCGTTAAAAAAGCTATTCACCTACTGTACTGCTGTAAAGGAGTTTAAATCTTGACATTATGACTGTAAGTGTTTCCCCGAGGTCTCTCAGAGGAGGGGGATTATCATAAAGTGTGCGATGGTTGCTGATGGGAGCTGAGTCTATAAGCCTGTGTTCTGTCACGACTAATCTGCCGTTACAGTGTGTTGCTGTGTGACTTGTCAAATCCTGCTAATCACAGCCTGGAAACTTGTGCCACAGAGGGGGATTTGTGCAGCATCTGAATAATAACAAACAATACTACAGGGACAAATGGCAACCCACTCTCAGCTGGAACGTGCGCTTTTAGAGGCAAATCAGCGGGGAACTGGCAACGTGATGAAGAGGAGGGAGTAAAAGAGGAGGGGGAGATTGACGTGACGAGCTGAGGGAGTTGATTGAACGCTTTGAAAAACCCAATCAATGTCTCACCTGTGGACTCTCCGATGGTGAACTCCTCCGGCTTCAAAGGCACGTCGCTGTGTCCTGCACCCGCCGTCTGAGACTGCAAAACAAGAGGAAGACGAGGAGAATAAGAAATCAGGATGAGAGGAGGAACAGGAGCTGTTGTTATTTCACAGAGGAGAGTATAGGATGTGCTGAAGGTCAAGGAGAAGCTGCGCGGGGGTGTCAGGTGATAATGAGTCAAAAAACCTTAAAATTAACTTAATTGGAATGAAAACACACCGTGAAAGGGTTTAAACATAAGGACACACTTTAGTAGCGACCTGTCAATCACACGTTAACCCCGCCTTTAAATATTACCCTGCTTTATCGTCTTTGTGACTTGAATTTAACAAATGAACATAATTAAGTATTAAAGAAGACCGTAAACTATAGATTAAAACCATTAACTCACTACAACATTGTTTTACTGAAGTAATACATCAAGTGAGAAGCAGGGTCATTTTTTCATAGACTTCTATACAATCAGACAAGAGGAATCGCCCCCTGGTGGCCATTAGAGTGAATGCAGGTTAAAATCATTTCCATATTTGGCACATATGGCATATTATATATTCACAATGCTTTGAATAAGCAGTGGTAGTACATCTACTCAAGTACTGTACTTAGGTACAATACTGAGGTACTTATACTTGGGTATTTCCATTTATGCTAGTTTGTACTTCTACTCCACTACAGTTCAGAGGTAAATTGTGTACTTCTACTCCACTACATGTATTTAATACCTTCAGTTACTTCACAGATCTGGATGAATGATGTGAAATATAATCAAGTGTTGAATCAGACTTTAGTTCCACCTGGAGTAAATCCACAAGCTACCCTGCAGTATACAAAGTCCTTCAAACTAGCTGCACCTTCACCAGCTTTGAGAACACTTTCATGATCAATCATTATAAAACATATCATATATATTATTCTGAAATGGACCAATCTGCACAACGACTACTTTCACTGTCGCTACTTTCACTATATTTTGATGAGAATACTTTTCTACTTTCACTTGAGGAACATTTTGAATGCAGGACTTTTACTGGAACAGAGTATTCCTACACTCTGGTACTTCTACTTTTACTCAAGAACAAGATCTGAGTACTTCTACTTTTACTCAAGTACAAGATCTGAGTACTTCTACTTTTACTCAAGTACAAGATCTGAGTACTTCTACTTTTACTCAAGAACAAGATCTGAGTACTTCTACTTTTACTCAAGTACAAGATCTGAGTACTTCTACTTTTACTCAAGAACAAGATCTGAGTACTTCTACTTTTACTCAAGTACAAGATCTGAGTACTTCTACTTTTACTCAAGTACAAGATCTGAGTACTTATACTTTTACTCAAGTACAAGATCTGAGTACTTCTACTTTTACTCAAGTACAAGACCTGAGTACTTCTCTCTCCTCTGTGAAGGCCTAATTGTTGTAACAGTTGCTGTTTCCTGAGAGTAGGAGGAAGATGAGGCGACAAGGTCAAGGAGACGCCGTGCGGGGGAGTCAGGTGTTTGGGTTATTTTTGTCGCGTCATTTAAAGTTTCTTCTGTGTTTCATCTGCTTGCAGGGCACCGAGCCGAGGAGGAGGAGGAGGAAGATGAGGATGAGGAACATGTGCTCCGGCTAATGACAGAGTTTCAGGCGTGCCCTTGCTGAAGAAGGAGGCGTGTCGAGGTCCATCAGAGAGCGAGCTGCAGACATTAACCTTCCTCCTTCATTATGGGCACAGACAGATCCACTTCCAGGAGAAATAAAATCTTTTTTGACCGTCTGGTGCCTGTGTTGGTTTGTCAAAGGTGGGACTAGAGCAGGGGTGTCCAAACTATTTTCACTGAGGGCCACATACAGACAAATATACGAAGTGCTGGGCCACTCACTAGAGGCGAGGGATACTGCCTCATAAGTTCAGTTATAAGTTGGAACAATCTTATTCTTGATACTTGAAAATGCTGTAAGAAAAAAACAGCTCACAGCTCTCCATAAGGTTTCATTTATTTTGTTAGCAGCTCATTCCTTAAAACAAAAGCTTCAGATTGCTTATCATAAGAGGAAAAATGAAGGGTATGTTTCAAGGTTGTTATGTAAATGTCTTATTGGGCTTTTCTATTATCAACTTAGATTTATTAGAACATGTTTTCAACTTGGATTGACCGAATTTATTTTTCAAAATTGGGCTTATGAACACATGAATACTACTGTGTAATATATTTGAACATATAAGAAGTACAATACAAGACAAGCAGAAGTTTATTATACTTAAGTCATTATACTTTTTGTATTTGCTGAGGGCCGATTCAAAATGGTCCGCGGGCCGTAGTTTGGACACACCTGGGGTGTTTCTCAATGTCGAGTAAAGCTGCTCCAGAGCCACTATTTCAAGCATACTACGTCATCGAGTGCCGCCGAAGGACTGTTCCAATGTCCAGCATACTTGGAATTCTACCGAGCCCGGCGTACTTCGTAGCGAGAAATTTCGAGGCTGCACATGTGTAGACTCCGGGTGTTTCTCAATGTCGAGTACGCTTGCTTGGTAGCACATGTCTTCCGAGTCACTTGCTTCAGAAGCGAGGCAAGAATCCTTCCTGGCATTCGGAAAACGAAGAGTGGAACAGGCGAGCAAGTGTGCAGGTGTGCGTCATATGAGAGGCCCCGCCTTACATTTCCCGCCACAGATTTGGGGAAATTGGTCCGTGCGCAAAGCATTGTGGGGATTTTAAGGCCGCGGAGTCTACGCATGTGCAGCCTCGAAATGTCTCGCTACAGGTGAAGAGGATGTTGTTGCGGAATTGTTGTGAGTACCTTTTTCAAGACGACAATTCAGTGAAAAGACGGACATTATAACGGCGGGGGGTGGGGTTGCGTGTGTCTACAGAAGGTCCAGTTGTGATAGACACGGTTCGCCACTGGTATAACAACACTATATATGTAGTACTGTTACTGACGTAGATTGAACCAATATCAAATGACAAAGGATCTAAAAACGTACAGACACATGTGAAGCGATCAAAGGTTCCCATGGAGAGGTGAGTGTTTGGAGGGGATGTGGACGAGAGCTCTAGTTAGATTCAGGGTCCATATTTGTTTAGTCTCACTGATGAAGAATGTTGATTATTACACTCTGAACTAGTTAAAACCTTGAGCTGCAGAAGAGTTCTTCAGAATAGAGAGGCGAAGTCCCTTCCTTTCCGGGGAGCTCCATGGGACCTTATTTCGGAAAAAGTATGTATTGAAGTCAATGGAGAGAGAAAGATTATCTTTCGATCCCGTTTGAATTGTGCCACAAATTACACATATGATGTTTGTCAATTTAAAAGATAATTTTGCAAGTCAAACAAATTAAAATGTGTCGTAAAACTTTTTTTGTGTGAAACCGCTCGATGAACTACATCTCCCGTCTCGCACCACACACCCAGACGGCCGTCACGTTGAAACATTTCACTTCTTTCTTTCAGAATGAGGCGGAAAGTATTAAAAGAGGTGGAAATCACTCCAAGTCTGGGCACGTTGAGAGCTGTGCATACACACAAGGGGAGTTAGTCGGTTCGTAAGAGCCAGCATGCGGGACCGGGACTCTGGGAGTTGTAGTCTTTCTAATTGCGTATTTTTCATAGTCTTATATTTCAACAGTTTTACGACAAACTGACTTTTTTGACATGGAAATGATTTTTTAAGATTGACAAATATCATATGTGTAATTCGTGGCACAATTCAAACGGGATCGAAAGATAATCTTTCTCTCTCCATTGACTTCAATGCATACTTTTTCAAAAATAAGGTCCTATGGGTCGGAAGTAGATGGGAGGGACTTCGCCTCTCTATTGGTTTGGCAACCGTGTGGTCAACTCGTGACACACCGCCTGTCTTGTCAATTAACCGTAACTCCAAACAAACCGTCAGTGTTTGCCATCAAAGCTCCAGCTCTCCTTGTGTCTCTCCGAGTCCTGTTTCCAATTGCTTCAGAAGTTGCCCCCACAATCCCCCCCCCCCCTTTCATGTCTTGTGTGTATTGTATGTTGCTTTGTTAAAGGAGCCTGCAGATCCAGAAAACAACGCCTTTGAATGTCCAGCAGGAAAAAAGCCTTCTTTTGCACAATACCAAATTGTGTCATTACGTGCGGAGAGGATCAGAGTTTAGAAGCTGACAGCTACCAGCTCTGCATTGAATAAAAGCAAAGTACAAAAACTGCAGAAGACAGAAAATGTCTGCTTTAATCTCTCCCTCCGCCTGACAAATGTTTTTCAGTGGATGCTGTATTATTTGCAGGATACGCGAAAATGTTCATCGTCCCTGTTTTTGCCTTTTATTTTCCGACATTTGTGCAGACGCTGTGAATCCGGCCGTCTACAGTTGTTTTTGGGGGCGAGAAGCTTTAATCTCGACTCTGACAGGAAGCATTAAAAGTGTGCCGAGGAGGAGGAGGAGGAGGAGGAGGAGGAGGAACAACTTTCCTTTTACTACACTTTGTCTTTGTGAGTCCTGCTGCAACACAAGTCCCACAACTAATCACTCAGGAGGAGAAAAAGCTGAGAAGCTGAAACTGTGGAGATTTATCATGCGGTGAAACTCCAGCAGCCACACTCTGCAGGATGTGGGCCAACATGGCTGCCAACGGGTTACTATAGCCCAGTGGTTCCCAAACGGTGTGCCGTGAGGCAAGTCCGGGTGTGCCGTGGGATTTTGTGACAACCATACGTTATTATTGCAATATACAACTACACAAAAATAATACTTTTTTTATTTACTATATCAGTACTTTGTAGGTTTATATGTACGTAATCTGCGCGATTTGCGCGTCCACATCTCCACGTGCAGTGCTGCATAAACATGGCTGAGTCAGCGATAACTCTCGAGGGGTGGAGGTATGCCCATTATTTTGAGTTCGTCCGAAGAATAGACAGGAATGTGACGGTGAGGTGCAAACTGTGTCCAGGCCAGAAGCTGTTATCCACTGCTGGAAACACCACGTGGTCAAACCTCAACAACACCTGCAAAGAACACATGCTAAGGTGAAGCTACCGCACACGCTATTTGTTGTTTGTTTATATCACGTAGTCTGTTCTTCTTCTCTGTTTTCCGGTTGTTGCCTGTTTTGAATGACAAATACACACTACCACCGCCTGCTGGTAAGGAAAGTTATTGCCACTCACGCATGCGCAGTTCGTACGTGCTCGGCGAGTAAAGTAACGAGTAAAGTAACGAGTTACTTTATGTAGATAGTAACGAAGTAGTGTAATATATTACTTTTTTAAAAGTAATATGTAATATATTACATTTTTTTAGTAACGACCCCATCTCTGGAGTTGGCGTTCTCTACTCTGGTTTACATGAAGAACAACAGGAGGTCACGGCTCTCTGTTGAACAGGACTTGCGAGTGGCCCTCCTCAGTGCCACCAAGGATTAAAAAATGCTGCGCGCCCCGACAGGCACATGTATCTCACTAATTTGTAAATCGGCAAAATATTTACAATAGCACATGTTTCAATGCTGATTGCTGAAATGTTACATTTATCATTTGTAGTTCAGGACCATGGACAAAGCAGCTTCCTTGCATTGACTTTTTCTGCTGAGTTTGCTTTGCCTCATTTTTAATGTTGTGACCCGTCTGGTTTAAATGAGTGTGTTGCTGCTTTGATGAAGACTAATTTGATACAGTTTCAAATTAATTTCTGAAATATTTCGTTAATAAATATTTCATGAGTAATATAGTTGTCTTTGTCACATTTTATTTGGCATTAGTAAATAATTATGCACATTTACAGATATTTTACATGATATGAGTGATAACACGTGTTATAAGGGCTATTCTGCACAATAGGTGTGCCTTGAGATTTTTACTTGTCCTTTGGGACAAGTAAAGTTTGGGAACCACTGCTATAGCCTATTGAGGACAAGGGTAATGCAACTATTTAAAATATGACGTTTGTTGGGATTTCATAAAGAAGAACTTTGGATTTGATGTCTGATGTAGCATAAAGAAACATGTAAAAGTTATATTTCCTTCCATTTTTGAGTTAAACTTTGATAAAAGTCTACTTGTTTTTACGAGCTAATCGAGTAAGTGACAAGGAGATTTTGCTATATTGGAAACATATATTGTAGGGCCATTGTAGTCATGCCTCACACTGCTCATACCCCTCTTTTAAAGCCCTGTTAGAGAAACACGGATTTTGGGTCCTTAGCTTGAAAAAAAAAAAAAGAGGAGGCGGAGCTAATGCCTGATCAGAATTCTACCGGAGATAAAGTTAAATTCTGCTGTGATAAAACGCCATCCTGTTCTAAACCACATCAAGGATTATCTCTGAAACAGTATGGAGCTCAAATGCTTTTCCTCTTGCGGGTTTATCACAAGGTGAGTTCCTTTTTTTATTTCCTGCTTTTTAAACACGTGCTCTCCAGTACAGGTTAGCTCTGAGTGTTAGCGAGGCTTGCTAATGTAAACAAAGACCAGATTACGTCCAAAACACGTCAGGCATTGTTTCTGATAGCAACTTTCTGTGGGTCCACCGCCGCTATGACGTCACAGCGGATGGAAATCTGTATCCGCTCGTTGTACACCCGTTTTAAAAGATTTGGGTACGGAGGAAAAGAGAGAGGGTTTTATTTTCTGACGCTGCGTGAGTTCCCCGACGCACCGGGGACACACGTATACAAGACATCAGAAAGAGCATTTTGCATGATAGGTCCCCTTTAATATTAATTATTTGTTTTACTTCTACATGATTTTGGCCGCTACATTTAGAGATTCATCTCTTTTTGTGCAGTTGTACGTCATGTGTAGACTTGTTTCTCCTATTTAGAGTTATCATTTCTAAGCAATGATTAGAAGTATGCAAATTATATATCTGTTGTTTTTTAATGTCCTTTATTATAACACAATGTGGTATTTTATTTCATTGTTTTCTATGTAAAGCACTTTGTATTTTGTTTGATAATTGCTTGATACAAATCAAGTGTATTATTGACGACCAGGATCAACTAACGACATGAAACAAACTCGTGTTTAGAGGACGGGTTTTATACTCACATAGGCATTGGCAAATTTAATTTTGGTTCCCTTCAGCTCAGCTTTGAACTGCGTGAAAAACAGGTAGGACTTCCCCTGAGGCCTGGCAGGAGGAACAAAACAAGTGTTAGTTGAGGAATATTCAGTCGTTTGCTTATTCAAAATAAAGTTGTTAGTTTATTCAGCATGATTATATTTAAAGCAAGAGGTTAGAAACTCTTTAATTGTTAGGGCTTTCACAGTAGACTAGAATAAGAGAGAGACTGTGTGTGTGTGTGTGTGTGTGTGTGTGTGTGTGTGTGTGTGTGTGTGTGTGTGTGTGTGTGTGTGTGTGTGTGTGTGTGTGTGTGTGTGTGTGTCTCACCTCCACACAGAGCAGGAAAACAGTTTGTCGTCGTCACTCAGACCAACACTCATCAGCCATTGCTGTTTAGCACAAAAACAGAGGAATATTTATGTATGCGCACACACACACACACACACACACACACCACACACACACACACACACACACACACACACACACACACACACACACACACACACACACAACACACACACACACCACACACAACACACACACACACACACACACACACACACACACACACACACACACACACACACAACACACACAACACACACACACACACACACACACACACACACACACACACACACACACACAACCACACACACACACACACACACACACACACACACAGAGAGAGAGACTCACCTCATTGGTTCCCCCTTGTGAAGCATAAGTGAACGAGCACTCATATTCTTTCTGAAATAGAAAAGTGGAAAAAATGATTATCAAAATGAAGTCTGATAACAGTTTTATTATTATTATTATTATTATTATTATTATTACTACGATGGCAAGCTTTGATTCAAAACAAAGGAACATAATGCTTTCAATGTGGATTAAAGTTAAAGCCTTAGTTTAAGCTTAAAAGATTATTCTTCAAATCATTTTTTGCATTTTATTGTTGTCAGTTTTGGTCCAAAATGTTTATTTATTGTTGTTGTTGTGTCTATGTGAAAGCACTCTGGGCTGCAGGTTTGTATAAAATATTCTTTATAAACAAAAAACCCTTTTAAATAAACATTTTCCTATAATTTAATATTTATTAATTGAATTTACTTTTATTTATTGATCTTTACTTTTTTTTATTGTCATTTATAGTCTTGCAAAAATGGTGTGTCTGTATCTCTGTATGCAAGTTGCTTTATAAATATATATTTTGTAATAGTTGTATTGTTTTTTTCCCTTGAATCATTGATTTTTTTTTAATGTTCATTCCTGAGTTGCATTTACTTTATCTAAACATTATATTCTGGTCATTTTAAATCCAAAATATTCTATTTATTGTTTGTTATTTAAAAAAAAAACAGTTCCTCAAAACAGTTAAAAAATACGCTCCCGGTGTATTCACGCCGGGAGCCAATCAGAGGAGCCGGTGTGGCAGCGACGTGTCAGCATCTGATTGGCTGCCGTCAAAATGTAGTTTTTACAACTGATATATCCTGATAAACTCGTATGTGTTTAATGTATTGCACTTTATTAAAAGATAAACACAATACAAATCATAATGTGTTTAATTTATATGTCAGATAATTAGAAATGAATGCACAATGGGGTTTATTCAGAGTTTATTACAAAAACCTGCACGTTTAATAGCCTTTATTTACCTAAATTGACCTACATTTATTTATAAAGCCAATTATATTTACACTTAGACGTTTATATATAGCAGATAAATCCATGTGTGGTGTTGAAATTGCTTATAATGTCGAAGTAAACAGAAATGATTGCACAATGGGGTTTATTCAGAGAGCATACTAGACTAATCTGAACGTTTAATAGCCTTATTCACCTTAATTCACCTACTTTTCTACATAAAGTCAATTATAGTTACACACACACTTTAGATTTAGCAGCTGGGTGCACAAGTGGTGTTATAAAGGCTATTAATGTTAAATGAAAGACAATTTAATGAGTAATATGTTGACTCACTACGGCCTCTGTGAAGGTGTGCACCACGCCTCCCGGCTTCACGTTAAACTCCACCGTCTTCTGTCGCTCCGCAGAGGCAGAGAAAGAGAGGACAACGAGCAGAAAAGAGACATTAATAAAAACACACAAGTTATTTACGATCGCCATCTCTTCCTGCTTCTGTAGTATGTGTTCTGGAGTTCTTCTTCTTCTTCTACTTCAGTTTTAGAGGTAGAATAGAAAATGTCGCCCCCTGCTGCTCCGGAGCCAGGTGGTCATTTACTGTAATGCAGCAACAATTCCTGAAAAACAGGAAACACTTCCTCATAGTTTCTGTGAAATATGTGAAATATTTAAAAGAAATAGGTTAGATTATAAACAATAGAAGTATGCTTTTTGAACTAGATTTTAAAAAATCCCCTGAAGATACATTGAAATATACTTTCAAGCTGTTTTTATTTACACTTTACACAGTATGGGTTTACTTCCTAAAGACCAGAGGTGGGAGAAGTACTCAGATCTTGTACTTGAGTAAAAGTAGAAGTACTCAGATCTTGTACTTGAGTAAAAGTAGAAGTAAGCAGATCTTGTACTTGAGTAATAGTAGAAGTACTCAGATCTTGTACTTGAGTAAAAGTAGAAGTACTCAGATCTTGTACTTGAGTAAAAGTAGAAGTACTCAGATCTTGTACTTGAGTAATAGTAGAAGTACTCAGATCTTGTACTTGAGTAAAAGTAGAAGTACTCAGATCTTGTACTTGAGTAAAAGTAGAAGTACTCAGTCAGATCTTGTACTTAAGTAAAAGTAGAAGTACCAGAGTGTAGGAATACTCTGTTAGAAGTATTGAAAATGTTACTCAAGTAAAAGTACAAAAGTATTAGCACCAACATATACTTAAAGTACCAAAAGTAAAAGTAGTCATTGTGCAGATTGGTCCATTTCAGAATAATATATATGATATGTTTTCTTGATTATAATTATTGATGCATTAAACTAAAACTTAAAGGTCTCCTATCATGCAAAATGCACTTTTTGATGTCTTGTATACATCAATATGTGTCCCCGGTGTGTCTGGGAACTCACGTAGCATCAGGAAATAAAACCCTCTCTCTTTTCCTCCGTACCCAAATCTCTAAAAACGGGGAACAACGGAGCTGATCCAGATTTGCGTCCGATATGACGTAATATCTGAAATGTGGACCCACGGCCCAATCAGAAACGTTGCTATCAGAAACAATGCCCGACTGTTTTGGACGTAATATGGTCTGTGTTTACATTAGCATCGCTAACACTCAGAGCTAACCTGTACTGGAGAGCATGTGTGTGAAGAAGCTTTCTACCCAAATCAGCACTTTGAAACAGGAAGTGAAACAGAGGGATATGAGGCATGGCTAGAATGGGTGATCTGTTTGGTATTTTGAGCAAAACACTTATAGACATTTATATATTATATCTGAGACCATGATAGGTGACCTTTAAGATAAAAGACAAACGCTGCATGCTTTGTTTCCTCTGATCTAAGTAGTTGCTCTGAAATAAGTCTGAAACAATGAGTTATTCTGAATACGGGTGCTTTGTGAATACTCTGCTGCACAAAACACAGTCAATTGTTTATCGACATCCTGTGACAAAATGTCCACAAAACTCCCCCAGGAACAAATGCTGTTCATGTACATTCCTCTCTTTTTCACAGCTTGTCTTACAGGAGACAAAAACAGGCTCATGTCTACTGCTACATGTTTGCGTACGTGTGTGTGTTTCAGTGTGTGTGTGTGTGTGTGTGTGTGTGTGTGTGTGTGTGTGTCTCCTCCTGACAGATGAACAGATGTTTTGTTACGACAGGAGACACCTAAGCGTTGGCTGACACTCATGTGCAAAACTCACAGAACAATACGAGCATTTTCTGGAAAACACAGACCCAGAAATAACTGAACGACCTGTCAGCTCCTCCTCCTCCTCCTCCTCCTCCTCCTCCTCCTCCTCCTCCTCCTCCTCCTCCTCCTCCTCCTCCTCCTCCTCCTCCTCCTCGACGTCTCGGCACACTTTAATGCTTCCTGTCAGAGTCGAGATTAAAGCTTCTCGCCTTCTGTCAGCTTCTCCTCCTCCTCCTCCTCCTCCTCCTCCTCCTCCTCCTCCTCCTCCTCCTCCTCCTCCTCCTCCTCCTCCTCCTCCTCCTCCTCCTCCTCCTCCTCCTCCTCCTCCTCCTCCTCCTCCCAGACCAAAAGCAACACAATACCAGGATTAATAGCTGTGTGCATTCAGTGTGTTTTGATATTTACACATCATCTCCGGGAGGAAAAGTAAAATAAGTCAGATGTCTCCGTTGAATGTGTGATGGAGAGACGGTTTGTGCTGCCCAGGTAAACATCCCTTCCTTTTTTCAGGATGTTCAGACACTGTGAACACAAACAGCTTCCACTCTGTGCTGTAAACAAATACATCTCCACAAAGGTCAATATAGCGACCGTGTATTCGGACGGAGAAACACAACATTTGTGCGGAGATGACGTCTGGTTATTTGACCAATGAGGCACGATGACACACTGTAGGGACACGAGTGGACTATGAGAGAAATAAGACATAGTTATTTAACCTGTTAAACGAAACTGTGTCTCAGGGCTTCTTAATATTTAAAAACCTATTAATGTGTCATACCAGATTAACGGGAAGAAACTCAGCTAACTGACAGTACGAAGTCTCATTCTTTTAATCCTTTTTCACTTGTTTTGTGTCTTGTGGTCATTGTATGTCTTTTTGTAGTCAATTTAAGTCTCTTTTTTATTAATTTGGGGTCTTTTTGTCCTCACATTGTCTCTTTCTGATTGATTTTTCATCTCATTAAAGTCTGGTTGTAGTAAATGTTAGTCTCATTGTAATAATTGTGTGTCTTTTGGTATTCCTTCTGCGTGTCTTAATAGGTGATTTGTCACTTTTTCATAATTTTAAGTCACTTTTAAGCCATATTTTACCAAATTGTACGTCTTTCCGTAGTCATTTTGAGTCTCTTCCTTGTTGGTACGTGTCCTCTTTGTAGTCATTTTGTAGTTAACAGCCAAGGGTTCCTGATACTTTGGGCCCCTGTGCTTTTGACTGCTAGGTTCATTCAGTTATTAATCCATGTAGAGAGCATGAACAACTTAAATCCAACATTGTCCACCCTGCTCATCAGAACCATGGAGGTCTCTGGGGTCAGGCTTGTATTGTCAGTTTCTGCAGAGTGTGTCGCTGTGGTCTCGCCTCTTGGCTCTGACTCGTGTTGACCGGAGTCTCAGACAGTCAGACAGCCTCACACACACCTCCCTCACACACACACACCTCCCTCACACACACCTCCCTCACACACATCTCCCTCACACACACACCTGTCCCTCATACACACACCTGTCCCTCACACACACCTCCCTCACACACACCTCCCTCACACACATCTCCCTCACACACACACCTGTCCCTCATACACACACCTGTCCCTCACACACCCCTCCCTCACACACACCTCCCCCACACACAACCAGAGATGGCAAAAGTACACACATCCTTTACTCAAGTAGAAGTACAGATACTCGTGTTTAAAAATACTCTGGTAAAAGTAGAAGTACTGACTAAACTTCTTCACTCGAGTAAAAGTAAAGAAGTATGGACTTCGAAATGCACTTAAGTAAAAAGTACCCATAACTTTGTGTCCTTGGGCAAGACACTTCACCCTAGTACATGTCTGATATGTGTAATATGTAATGTAAAACGCTTTGATCATTTGGAAAAGTGCTCTAATAGATGTAATGAAACGCAGATTAAAACTAAAGTAACAAACCTGTTTTGAAAATGTAAGAGGTAGAAAGTTCAGGTATTTGTGTTAAAAATATAAGAAGTAAAAGTAAAAAGTTGCCAGAAAAAAAGTAGTGGAGTAAAGTACGGATACCAGAACAATATACTGAAGTACAGTAACAAAGTATTTGTACTGCTTCCCACCTCTGCACACACCTCCCTCACACACACATGCCCCTCACACACACATGCCCCTCACACACACCTCGGGCGTGAGGAAGAGGTTGCTGAGGTCGGCAGTTTGCAGTCAGTCTGCAGATCTGTGGAATTTCTCTCCTCCTCGAGATCTCCAGCTTCACGCCCCGCAGACTCACTGTCCGTCAGCCTGCCCTGAGCACACACACACACACACACACACACACACACACACACACACACACACACACACACACACACACACACACACACACACACACACACACACACACACACACACACACACACACAGCTCTGCCGCTCTCTGTCCAAAGATGGAGAGGCGGCACAGAGGGGCCACGTTTGGGGAGATCTGAGGGTATTAAACAGGTTTTAAGCTCAGGGTGATGAGGAAATCTGCAGCCTGTACATGCACTGAGATTTTGTTCTTGTTGATACTTTGTCATGTTTTGCAACCACGCACATCGCAGAAGATCACCAAGTACAGTGACTCAATCCTGTACTTTTGACATGTAAAAAGTGGAGATGATTTTAGATGTCAACACTCGATTTTATCACTTAGTATATTCATTTTGGAGAGGAAGAGACCTCTGCAGATAAATTGGCTTCTGGTAAACACAATGAATAATTCAGGAATCCTAAAAGTGAGACACAGACTGCAAAAAGACACACAAAACGATGTAGTTTGAATTCAGAGAAAGGTGTGCCTTTACGTAGTGTGATTACTTATTTTTCATTACAGAGGGAGCAGAGGAGTTGGGTGGCCCTGATGTTAAGACAGACTGTGGAAGTGGTTCAGAAACAGATGCTGCAGAAAACACTCTGAATGACCTCAGCCCACACCTGCCCACATAATTATTTTATAAACATCCAGAAAATATCAACTTCCATCGAGACTTTGCACGAAAGTTTCTGAGATTTGTCGCCTTCAGCCGGAAAAAGGCTTCTATTGATGCCCACATTGTTGTTAGTCTAAAGCAAACAAATAGAATATATACAGTTTATTATGTCTAGATATATCATTAAAAGATTACAGATAAAAAACATGTGGTTCTTTGTCGCAGTCTAAAGATATTTGCACATTGTTTGCAAGTTTTTGTAAGAAAGGAAAAGCTCAAAATGGGTTTGTTTGCAAGACCAAGAGGAAGTGGGATGACGAGACGTCTGGAGCAGACCCGGCACCGTGGGAGGGCCAGAGAGGGCCAGGCCTGCCCATTTCACATTCCTGCCATCCCCCCAAT